CAGTTTGTGGTGAAGCTTCCTCTTGTCGGCGGCGAGCTTGGCTACCCTCGGAATTCATTCCCTTGCAGGGTATGGAAAGGGGTTGAGGGTTTTGATTGGCGCCTTGTCGGGCTCCGAGATCGTGTTGGGAAACATGTTCGACCCGCCATTTCAATGGCTTCAAAGACGATTTCCCTGATTAAAGACTACCACTGCGAACAATTTGCAGCTGTACGAGCAAGGTAGTAGCACGTGTTTGAGACCGATTGGGGAGGATGGCGATCGCGTTTGGTTGACAGCGTCTTTCTCATGAGGGTTCTGCCTGTGAAATACTTCAGTCGCAAGGTTATTGCCGAGGGCAAGCCGTTGGTAGCTGCTTTATGGTTTGTGAGTCTTGAGCTGTTCATCCCGTTCAAGGCGTGTCACGTCGATGGCAGCGGATGGGCACGCGAATGGTTGAGTACTGTAGGAAGGCGGTGCAGTAGGTGTTGTCGGAAGGATTTACCGAAGTATTGTGGTCGTAACGCCACGATATTGCGTTTCTGACGCATCCCGTTTGCACGGTGTTAAGCAAAGTCCTCAATCCTTCTTCCCGTTCAGACTATTTGCAAGTAACACCGGCACCAAGTCGGTCCTAGATTTGTCCGAAGGTTTGACTGCGTTTGATTGTGGCCCATTGATTGTTTTTCTGGGCACAGTGTTGCCGGCCGCGGTCAGCTTGTAAAGCAAGTGTGTCATCCCGTGGGCTCAAGCGTTTTTGAGATATGAGAACAATCTCTGAGTGCACTCTGTACGATTTTTGAAAGACCCCTACTCCAAAACTGTTCGAACTCGATTGCGGGTACGCCGTGTACTCCAACCGTTGGTGAAGGGTGCGAACCAGCCGATGGTTCTCAGAGCAAAAGCCTTCACTGGTTCTGCACCATACCTCAAACTCCGATTGCGGGTCCTCGCGATTCCTGGCTACCCCTCAACCGATGAACGCTACGAAGGCTGTGCTGCTACATCTCCATAATTGTGACGACAGTCCCCCTCGGTTTCAAACGTGACGATGGTCCCCGGTTTCAATTGTGCCAATTGTCCTCGGCTTCGAAAACTCCAACTGCGGGTCCTCAAGACTCTTGGTTGCCCCCTCAGCCCAACGACGTCTTGCAGTACAAATCACGTCTGTCCACATCGACCCCGCCTAGATCACATTAATTACAGCACCGTGTTGAACATTTCCTTCTCTTTCGCTTGCACCAACTTCGTCATCAAAGCGCGAAGACTCTCCTTTCAAGCCGCTTCTTGTGAACAATGGTCGCGCGTCGATAACACCGAGACTGGTCAGCACGAGCTCCAGAAAGAACTGTACCAGCACAATTGCCCCGTCGGCTGAAGATTTCCCTTATGCACGAGGCTTACAGGAGTATCTCCACTACCGTCTGCAGCCTCCGCGTTGGCACCCGACTCCGTGAGAAGCATGGCTACTGCTTCGTCCGACGTCTACCCCCTGACTCCATGGCCCAGTGCAGAGGGGTCTGGCCCGCGTTATCTTTGGCATTCACGGAAGCTCTGTGATGGAGCACAGCGTGCACCACCTCAGCGTTTCCCGCTTTCGCGGCGTGATGAAGAGGTCCAGATCCGCATTCAGATCTTGTCGTTTCGATATCAAGCTCGGCGTCGATCAACACATCCACGGCGCCAGCTTTCCCTGACATGGACACATCGAAAATTAGCTCGCTCATCGGCCCTGGACGGCTTTCGATGGCACAGCTGAGCAAGGACCCGCAATATCTCGGGGTGGGGAACTGCGTCAGCCATCAGCGAGTACGGGGGGTTTCTTGCGAAAAATGATGTCCCCGTGCGGTGAGACTGGTCCAGCATGTACTCGACCATGGGTAGATGGCCGGCGCGGATCGCCAGGCAGATGGGGAAGTCACCGCACTAACTGTGTGCGATAACGTCAGACTGGCTGCGCTCGACCAACCGACGAACAATTGGTGTGACACCGTTTTCGTCAGCATGCTGAAGAAGAGCGGTCGCTCCCTTGTCGTCCTGCAGGCCCACCAAGCCCTTGTCGATCTCCAGGAGTACTTCGACGAAATCAGCGTCTCCTCCCCGGACGTGTGGTGTAGGATGCTGAATGGGGGGCTTGTCTTGTCCTTCGAACATGCGGAGTCACATAATTTCACGAGCTCAGGGGCACGAATCCCCTGCCTGCAGTGAAGAGAGATCGCCCTTTGAGGTACTGAGCATGTCCAAAGGCGAGAATTTCAATCCTTCACGATGGCATCCTGCGCCTTTTTGATAGTTTCTTCTAACCTCGCGTCCATGATGATTCTATGCATTTTTCAAAGTTTGGAAACCTTAGAGAGAGAATGAGAGGGAGAGAGAATGAGAGAGAGAGAGAGAGAGAGAGAGAGAGAGAGAGAGAGAGAGAG